TTTGTTTGTTTACAAACTGCTGGACAACGAATGTTTTCTCATCGGAGAAAACCAAATTCGGCAGTTCACCACTTTCGGCCAAGCGAAGCAACTCTTTAGCTCTTTTGAGTCTATATTCTTTCTGTTGCGATGTAAGTTCGTGCACTTTTTGGAATTTCAATGGCTTTACCCCGAGCCCATTATTTGCCGAATGAAATATTGCGAAATGTTCATCTCACGAGCCATTTTTCGACCACTGCGACGCGGGTTTCGAACAAGTCGCATATTTGCTTTTTGAAACCTTTCTGCTGATGTTGCTGTTTTCTTCCGTCCACTTCCTTGACGTCGAGTTACGCTACTAGTATCACGATAACGACCGATGGTACGAGACACAAAATATTTATTAATATTTAAATGCTCTAACGATAGCCACTTGTGGTTTTCCAGCCAAATATAAAGAAATCACACTATCACGCTTGAATTCCATCGCGAATAACTTTTTTTCTGGAAAAAATCTCACCAAAATGCTTTTGCACGCTTGTAAACAATATAATGAGCTGTCGCTGGAATAATTTTAACAGCTGTTGGGCGAGTGCATTAGAAATGATAGCAGTCTGACTTTGATTGCAGTTTTTTCATCTCACCCTGTATATGTTTCATCCGATTTGGTGTTTAAGTTCCTCACATCCGTAATTTGCATTCGACAACAATGATATTTGGTACTAGATATCTTTTAGACTTTGGAAATACCCTTGCCAAATTTTATTGAGATCGGCTGCGATTTGGACATTGCTCCCACATATATCCGTAATCCGATTTCAGGTTTAATTATACCCTCAGCCATATGGCTACAGAGGGTATATATCATTTGATACGGTCAAAACGTGCCTAGTCGAAATAACGGTTTTAGACCCTAAGTCTCTTTGGACCAAATCCGTTTCAGAACATTTGGAGTCGATCTAGCGATGTCCGTCCGTCGGTCTGTCTGGCTGGCTGGTGCGCACGATAACTCTCGAAGGGAGCATCCGATTTGGTCCAAACTTGGTACATCGTTATATTTTTGTCAAACTTAGATCGAGTTCGGAGATAGGCAATATCGGTCCACTCCTTCTGGTACCTCCCCCACAAAACGTCGAAATTTTCAAAAAATATATTTTTTGCACAGAAAGAGAAAGTATAATCGGATTTTGCTCCAACTTTGCAAATCCTAATAATTGCGTCAGTGCTAGGTCAGGTATGAATATGGACAATATCGGTCAACTCCATCAAGTACCTCCCCCACAAATGGTCAAAATTTTGAATAATTAACACTCTCATAAAATGTGATGTAAGAGTGCGATTGTCTTAAAATTTCACACATTACAATATTTTTATAAACCCAAGATCTGATGTTAAGATGGAACATATCGGCCACTCCTTCTGGTACCTCCCCAACAAACGGTCGAAATTTTCAAAAAAAAAGTTTTTTCTGCACGGAAAGAGAAGCGATAATCCGGGTTGGCTCCAACTTTCCAAATCCTAATGTTTCTATCAGTGCTACGTCAGGTGCAAAAATGGATAATATCGGTCCACTCCATCAAGTACCTCCCCCATAAAGGGTAAACATTTTGAATAAATTTAAGTCTTATAAAATATTTGTCCACCCCTTCTGGTACCTCCCCCACAAAAGGTCGAAATTTTGAATATCCATTAAGCTCATATTCAAGACTTGGTACATCCCAAAATTTCCATTAACACAACACAGTCCAAACCTAGCACGTCGCAATATTTATATCATATTTATTTAGGTCCGAAACGAATATTTTTAAATAATCGAATATTGGCTGAGGGTATACATCTGCTGCAACACCGACCGATACTTTTTTATTTTTAATATAAATAATTTTGTTACGGAAGCTCTACTAAATATGCATAGTGTAGGGTATCATAATGGTTTAATGGTTTTATGCTACATTTTAGGTACACACATTTCATTTTGTGTCAAGAGACTCACAATGAAATTTTGGAATAGAATTATTTCTACTTTGAAACTTTCCCCTAAAAATTAATATAAAGAAAGTTTTTATCTCGGATACATGTTAAATTAACAGTACAAATATTCCAAAATAGTACTGGTATTTTTATCTACAATATTGCCGAAGACACTATATACCAAGAATCCACGGATTCCGAGGAATTTTAATCCACAAATTTCCAAAAGTGTGGAAGAGGGGGAACTTGCTTCTTCTATTTTGGTTAATTTCCTGTGTAAACTTTGAAAACGCCGATACACATGTCTTCTTTTTTGGTACTACTGTCATAATCTGCTAGACTTTCACCGTAATTATCAAAAAAAAAAAAACAAGTAAGCAAAGGCTACAGTCGAGCGGGACCGACTGTTGAATACCCTACAACACTATAATAAACCATACAGTTTATTAGGCGAAATACTCGACAGAATTCCACAAGATATTGTGACAAATAATAAAAGAAAACCATCAGGTTTCGTTCTCTAATTTTCGAATAATAGTAACTTAAACTAATTTGCTCATTTCCAATTTATTGGTAGATGTTGCACGTAAATGGTCTTCCTAGATCAGGAACCAATATTTCCCAAAGACCTATAATGTCTCAGAAGTGGCAAAAGATTAACATTTATAATTGATTTTTAACTGAAACGCATCTATATGAGATACAGACATTTGACTAAAATCTTCAACGAAATCAGCGTTAACGAAATAGTCAGAAGTGCGTCTTTCCTGTATTTGTGAATTCTCCAAAAAGTCACTGGAATGTACATTTTCGTATTTTGTCTTCAAAAGTTGGAAAACTATTTCACAAATTGAATATTTTTGGATGACCAACTGCTTGGCTTTTGCAATGTGCGGTATCCCCCATTCAAATGTGCCTAAGGATCGGGCGATAATTACGACCTACCGACAATTTTGCATTTTTTTTTTTGGTCCATTTCAACCCCTAAATATATGGCGATCATCTCCAAAAAGAGTAGGCTTCTATTCTGACCCTCATCTTATCCCCATGCAAAATTTCGTAAGGATCGGGCCATAAATGCGATCTGTATATGATATCCTGATATCCTAACTACTTAGTTTTGTTAGCTGTAGAAATATTACCAAATGTTTAATTCAAAATGAAAATATGCCAAAAATATGACAAAATTGAAAAATATGAGAACATTTTACAAAATCAATATTTTCATCTTTAGGGAGATATTTTTATGCGATTTTTTTAGACGTTTTTTCCTTCCTGCTAAGAGGTCATTCTGAATTAATGAGAACTGTCGAAATCAGTTCAGCCGTTCTCCACATATATGAGATCTTTCAAGCATATCTTCTTTGATAGACATATATATTGCACATAGTTTGCTATATATCCGATTTGTTAGATGTTAACATCAATGTAAAGATCAGAAGTAACCTTGTAATGGCTTTGTGATTTCGTCGGGATTTAAAATATTCGCGGTTTAATGAAAAATTTTGAATTTTTTCAACACAAAAGATATGGTCTATTTCACCCGCTAAATATTATCCGATGACCACCCAAATTGGTAGGCTTCTTCCCTGCCATAAACTCTAGCTACATGCGAATTTCCGTCGATTGGTCTATAATTGCGACCTGTATAGCTACTGCAAAATCCGACATTTTTTTAGTATTTGGTCCATTTCAACCCCTAAACGTTTGGCGATCATCTCCAAAAGAAATAGGCTTCTATTCTGACCCTATCCCCACCTCCATTCTGAATTTCGTAAGGATCGGGCCATAATTGCGACCTGTAGCGTGATTACAAATTAACATGGACAGACGGACAGACGGACGGCGGACATACAAAGCTAGATCGACTCAGCTCGGCGAGCTAGGAAGATCCATATATACTCTCCTATATAGGAAACCAATATTTCGAGGTGTTACATAAATTCTGGCCCAATCAAACTTATAATAGCCCCAACACATAGTGTTGTAGGGTATAAAAAATAATAATAATAATAATAATAATTTTGTTGCACAGTGTTAATTTCAATGAACTTGTAATGGAAAAGTAGTTTGTTTACATTAACTTTTGAATGGTTATTCGATTTAGGAGATTGTCATTTTTTATACCCTCCACCATAGTATTAAGGGTAAATCAAGTTTGTCATTCCGTTTGTAACACCTTGAAATATACATTTTAGACCCCACAAAGTATATATATTCGTGATCAGCATAATATTCTATGTCGATTTAGCAATGTCCGTCCGTCTGTCCGTCTGTGGAAATCACTCTAGCTTCCGAACGAAATGAAATATGTTGATAAAAAAATTTAATCAAATGTGTATTATGTCTGCAGGACTTTTGGTATTGAAAATGGACTGTGTAGGTCCACGTCTTCGTATAGCCCCCATATAACGGTACCTCCCGATATTTGTGTATTTTGATGATTTTGAGTGACATTATTTTGCGGAATTTTTTCAAATTTTGTATTTGAAGTTCGTAATGGATACTACAGCCTATGGCAGAAAATTGTCTGTGCAGGTCCATGTTTTATAACCCCCATGGTACCTCACTATATACGGTATTTTGATGATTTTAGCTGCATTATAAACAGATTTTTTTCAAGTTTCGTATTTGAATATTGTAATACGGCCTACCTATCTAGTAAATCCCCCTGAAAGTGTTAGTATTCCATAAAAATATGACATTTTGTATTGTTATTAAAAAAATGGTATAGCATGTCAGATTTTGCGCTGTTACAGAACTGCAAGAATGTAAACATTTTTACTTTGATAGCCGATTTTGCCTTTATGATATCTTTATGAAAAAAATAGTAGATTCTTGCAGATTCTGTAACAGAGCATTGATTTATTTTAATTTTTTTTTCTCTATTTTTTTTGGAAATATTAACTCCAAATTTGCATTTGGGTTGTTCAGTGAATAGAAAACTTTTTGTAAAAAATCTTTTAAGAAATCCTTTATTTATCGCCCAAATTTCCTATTTTATTTTTTTAGGTGTTAAATGAAAGCCTAGTTTCAACTAATTATTCTCATTTTTGTTTTTAATTATTAAGCATTTTCATTGTTTATTTGTCCCTTGATTACAATTGAACATTTGGATTGTATTTAAACTGACATCTACCAAATACGCCACATGCCGGTTCAACTGGTCGAGAGCAAATGAAGTAATGAGACTCAGTGCAAGCACCGGTTACCCACAAGAAATTATCATTTGTGCGAACACATTGATTGGCCGTGGTGCTTGGATTAGTGGCCCATTTGGTGTAGGAAAGTCGAGTGCCCGACATTAACCAAACATAATCGGAACTTGCGGGCAAATTGGTACCAGAAAGCCAGTATTGATTACCATAAAGTTCTTAGCATAGATAAACAAAAAAAAAAAAAACAATAATTATTAAGATATTATTAATTTTCAAATTTATAAATTAACTTACTTTTTTCACGTAAATAATTTCGGAGGCTCTCATATTCTGCACTGGATTCGATGGAGGCCAGTGTCATGCCATGTGCAGCACATGTTTGAGCTGCACGATACCAATTGACCTGTAGTAAGATTTTATGGAATAAGAAGGAGAAAATTCAAAATAATATTCAATTACCTTGCTAAATGCTCCCACATAGTACTCCTTGTCATTCAAAACCTTGCTTGTAAAAATGTCATCATCTGCTAAACCAACAGTTATAACGGCCAAAACACCAAAAACTGCCAAGAAACTATAGAATGCGGACATTTTGGTTTCGTATTTTTGCTTTCTGAATTTTCGCAAAGTTCCTCTTGTATATATACTCTATGACAACATTTTCTTGGCCTTTAATGGCCGAGAAAAAGGAATCCCCGCCGTTTATAATATGCATATTTTATCTTTTGCGTTAACATTTAAAATTAAAGCAATTAGCATTTCGGTCATGACAATGATTGATTACAACTCACAGGTGGATGATCTAATTCGGTTGAAAGTTTGTAAGTACCTAAATAGCCTACTCTTAAACTCGCCGATATTATACTTCTTCAAAATTGAAGAAATATAGAACATTTTTAGATGACTTGGTTAAAATGTATTATGAAGAGAATGGACTATAGCCAGTAAAAAACGTATTGCAAATCGGAGTGGGACAAAATTCTTTTTATACCCTCCACCAAAAAAAGTATGGAGGGTATATTAAGTTCGTCATTCCGTTTGAAACTCATCGAAATAATCATTTTAGACCGTCTGTCCGTCCGTCCGTCTGTTGTAATCACGCTACAGTCTAAACGAATAAAGGTAGGAAGCTAAAATTTTGCACAGATCTGTATTTGTCTGCAGGCTGGTCAAGTTCGAAGATGGGCCATATCGGTCCACGATATCGTATAGCCCCCATATAACGGTACCCCCGATATTCGGTATTTTGACGATGTTAGCCACACTTTTCAATGGAATTGTCTTAAAATCCACACAAGTAGTTCCTTGTGAGTACTTTACCCCCTGAGAGAGAATTGTCTATACAGGTACACGTTATCGTACATCCCCCATATAACGGTACCCCCCGGTATTTTGATGATTTTACCCACATTCTTCAACGGAATTGTCTGTAAATCCACACAAGGAGTTCGTTGTGGGTACTTTATTCCTCGGCAGAGAATTATCTATATAGGTCCACAATATCGTATAGCCACAATATAACGGTACCCCCCCCCCCCCCCCCCCCCCCCATATTCGGTATTTTGATGATTTTACCCACATTCTTCAACGGAATTGTCTGTTAATCCACACAAGGAGTTCGTTGTGGGTACTTTATTCCTCGGCAGAGAATTATCTATATAGGTCCACAATATCGTATAGCCACAATATAACGGTACCCCCCCCCCCCCATATTCGGTATTTTGATGATTTTACCCACATTCTTCAACGCAATTGTCTGAAAATCCACACAAGGAGTTCCTTGTGGGTACTTTATACCTCGGCAGAGAATTATCTATATAGGTCCACGATATCGTATGGCCCCAACATAACGGTACCCCCGATATTCGGTATATTGATGATTTTAGCCACTTTTTCCAATGGAATTATCTGAAAATCCACACAAGGAGTTCCTTGTGAGTACTTTACACGCAAACATAGATTTGTCTTTATAGGTCCACAATATCGTATATCCCCCCATATATCGGCACCTTCCTATATTAGATATTTTAAAGATTTTAAAAGAATTTTTATTGGATTTAGTTTTTTTGAAAATTTTCTAATTCGTTCCAAATGGTGGAGGGTATTCAAAGTTCGGCCCGGCCGAACTTACTGCTTTTTTACTTGTTTTATTTGAAGTTCGTAATGGATACTACAGCCTATGCCAGAAAATTGTCTGTGCAGGTCCACGTATGGTACCTCCCTATATTCGGTATTTTTTTTTATTTTTTTTTTTAAGTTTAGCATTTGAATATTATAATAGCTTATGACAAAAGTTACCTATGCAGGTCCATGTCGTCGTATAGACCCTAATATAATAACTTCATTCGGCATTTTTAAGATCTTAATAGAATTTTTAACGGATTTTATTGTTTGAAAAATTTAAAAAATGTGTTTCAAATGGTGGGGGAGTATTAAAAGTTAGGCCCGGTCGAACTTACTGCTTTTTTACTTGTTTTTCAATAACACTGTGCAACAAAATATAATAACAGGGAAAATCTAGAAGATTTTGAAAGTAGAGCTACAAAAAGAAGACACGGGTATCGGCGCTTTGAAAGTTTACATCGGAAAGTAACCAAAATAGAGGGGGAAAGTTCCCCTCCACCCAAACGTTGTTGAAAATTTTTTGCTAAAGATTCTCCGCAATCCGTATATAATGTCTTCGGCAACATTGTAGGAAAAAAAATACGAGGTAAATTTTAACCAGAAGGTGAGCCTACAAAGGTCCTTTATTAAAATATGATTAAAAACTTCCACGGGATCGTAGCAAGTCAAAATATCCCACAAAATTATTTGTCATAAAATTCTACTATAGGTCATAGAAAACGTCAAGAGTCTTAATATTACCTAAACGCCAGAAATTCATATACAGGGTGAGATAAAAAAAACTGCAGAAAAGTCAAACGCCATAATTTTTACTTTTTTTTAAATTTTATTGAATGGAAGCAAAAAATGTCAGAAATGGCATTAAATTTTAGAATAAGTTGAGATATGCTCGAATCGGTCACCTTTGGCACAAATTATGGCTTTCAAACGGCCAATGAAATCGTCACACGCTACCCGAATTTTGCTCTGCTGTATTTTGGCCCATTCCCGGCGAAGCGCTTGCTTAGGGTGATCGACCCCTTGGCATTTTTTAGTGCCAACTTTGCTTTCCTAAATACTCCAAACACAATAGCCCAACGGATTGGTATGCGGAGATTTTGGTGGCCATTGTGCGCTGGAAATGAAGCGAGGAACCTTATGTTGTAACCATTATTGGCTGGTGATTGATGAGTGCGATGGTGCTGAGTCCTGGGAATGTCCAATGTCTGCGCCCAAAATGATTGCGTGTCATCGGCTGTTATGGCGGCCCACACCATCACCATGGCCGGCGCTTGAGTTCTGGTGGCCAACCGAAGGTGCACATTTTCAGCTGACCTCTTTGGCAAGTAAACACGATCATTTCTGTTTGTTTACAAACTGCTGGACAACGAATGTTTTCTTATCGGAGAAAACCAAATTCGGCAACTCTTTAGTTCTTTTGAGTCTATTTTCTTTCTGCTGCGGTGTAAGTTCTTGCACTTTTTGGAATTTCAATAGCTTTATCCCGAGCTCATTTTTCATTATTTGCCGAATGAAATACAGCTCACGGGCCATTTTTTGGGTCACTGCGACGCGGATTTCGATCAAGTCGCTTCTTTACTTTTCGAACCATTTCTGCTGATGTTGCTGTTTTCTTCCGTCCACTTCCTTGACGTCGGGCTACGCTACCAGTATCACGGTAACAAGCGATGGTACGAGACATAAAAGATTTATTCACATTTAAATGCTGGAGTGCTCTAACGATAGCCACTTGTGGTTTTCTAGCCAAATATAAAGAAATCACACTATCACGCTTGAATTCCATCACGAATAATTTTTTTCTGGAAAATTCTCACCAAAATGCTTTTGTACGCTTGTTAACAATATAATGAGGCTCCCTCCCGTCTGTCTATGAGAGACTGTCTCATTTAGAGTAATGATTATAATTAACACTTTAAATTGAAACAAATAGAATCTAAACAACATGTATATTACAAGATGAAACAAAAAATATCTCCTTATTAAAAATTTCTATCCTCTGAATGCCTCCTGTATCAACAGATTTGATGTTAAGTTAAACCAAAGTGAAACCCCCTCAGCAAAATATTATTCCATTCCATTATGATGTCACTGTTGTGTGTCGTTGTGTTTGTGGCAATTAAAAATAATTGCATCAATTCCATTCAGTAATCGGCATCGCTTATTGACATTATTCATGTTATGTAGCTGATATCGCATTTTCGACAATGATTTTCTCATAACCAAAGCGACATGAAACTATTTTCCAATAAATGACGAAAAAATGTATTTCATTAAAATCGAATGCGAATCTCAAAAAAAAGAAAAACTTGTTAAAAAATATTTTTATGGTCAAAAGTTAATAAATGATGGCTTTGGTGATGTGCGGATTTTCTATGGGCATTGCGAGAGATTCGTTTTCGTTTGTCATCATTGTGAAGCATTGAATGAATGTATGTATTTGTTGTTTGTTGGCTCACAATTTCATGGTCTTCTTTGGAAAATCCTTGTCAAAAAAAGTTGCAACAAACCATGGAAATTACATTCGGAAAACACAAATCTTACAAAAAATATGCTGCCGAAGAAATAACAAATAGTGCGACAGACGTTTGAGTTTATGAAATGACGACAACGACGACGACACTTGAATGTCATATCTGGAGATACAGCTAACCATAAAGGTAAACGATAATAGCAAAAACAACAACAACAACAATACAATATATGTTGCAAGGTACAAAAACTTCACTGGCCAACTTGGCCACCAGTTGAATGTGGCCAATTGTCGCACCACAGCTAGCCAACAACAAGATTTGGTAATGGCAGCAGCAGCAGCAGCTCCAACATGTCACTTTCATTTGAACGTTTTCGATTTTGTCTCTTTTTTCCCTCTGTTTCTCTTTCGTTATGCTGCAACTTTGAAATGTCAAAAGAAAGTAGAAGTTAAGCAAAACTTAGCAACATAAAAGCAGACAAGCAGCGATTTTTATGGGATTTAAGTCAAAGTACTCCTTGAATTGACACAATCGCAATCAAACAACAGACAGCGACAGCAGACCAAAAAGAAAAAAGTTTGAACCAAACTTGGTGTAAACACACAATAACAGAAGACGACTAGATGGGTGGAGAGACTAGAAATAAGGAAACCTATACGAGGGTTATTTCTCAAAAGAAAGTGTTCCCTACCTAGCGACGATATATGTGAGTATCTCTTTTTTAAGAAGACCTGAAAAAGGTCTCCAAACTTTAAGGAACCATACGAGGGTTATCTCTTAAAAGAGTGTATTCTCTACCTTGGGACGATATATGTGTGTTATTCTTTATTAAGGTCTCCTATCTTCAAGGAACCAGTAAAGGTTTTCTATCGAACTTTAGATGGACTGATATCACCAGAAGACCCGTAAGAGAACTTCTGTATCCAGCAGCACCTTCGAAAAATTTAACGCAAGAAGTCTTGAAAAAATCGTTGTATGTAAACGAATGCTCTAGGACCCTTCTACCTGGACAAGACTATGAACTGAAG